TAGTCCACAACGCTGAACGGTGGCGATCAAATAGCTGGCTATGTTAATGACTTGCATAAAGATCCCCTCACACCAACCCCCCAAAAAGTGACAACAAGCTGCTGAATAGAAAGGAGTAAGAGGAGAGGAGAGTGTAAATGAGAGGATGGCTTTGGTTTTAATGGACAATAAAAATATATGTATTGCCTCTACCAGCAAATGGATACCTTGCCAGGGATAGGGATATATGTACCTGCGTGTCTGTGAGTGTGTGTATGTGCCTGCGTGTGTTACTGGAAACAGCCTGTAAATATTGTAGCTGTTGAAAATGGAAAAGGCAGAGAGCTTTTTGCAACGTGTTGCAGCAAAAGGACAGTATTGACAGTGGAGAAACACTGAGAAATAAAAAACTTTTTTCACGTGTTGTCATTTATTGCATATTGCATTCTCCTAAGGTGTCATTCTCACAGATGCCCTATAAGATATGCTGAGTTTACTCAAACCACCCTTTAATGAAAGATTCTCTTCTGAAATGATTTCTTTTGTAGCTGAAAGGAAAATCTTGGTTTGTAGGGTTTTTTTTTCAGATGTTCCTTTTCTCCTGCACCATCCCTGTTCTTATGCTCTTACGTAAATACTGAGTACCATGTGCACCCATTCCTACAGTTAAAGTGTTTTTCTTGTCTCTGTTCAAGTGCAGCTTCTGTATTTACCGTAATTTCCCTTCTCTTTGAATCTTTTTTTCAAGTCATAGAACACTTAGTACTAGCTTTATGCTTAGTAATTTTCTATTCTTCATATGTCCCAGGAAACTATTTTCCCTAGTGTGTTCTAATTGGTGACTTCAGACTTTCTGCAGTCCTTCATCTGATAGCCAAGTGCAGCATTGTGTGAAGTCCTGCGAATGCTATGCTTGCATGAGGCACTTGTTGATACAGTGATACTAATTTAAAAATACTCAGCTGCCATCTGTACAATGTATGGTCTCAGACATCTCAAATTGCTTCATGCTGGTGCAGAGAATTACAATATCGTCTTCCTGCAAGTTAGAATTGAATCTTTCAAAGACAACGGTGATTTATTCATTAGAGACAGCTCCAGGTGTTACAGAAAAATAATGATGATTTTTTTTTCTTTCTGTTTTCCTGAAACAAAACATCATCTTCTACCTCCTGGAACTTGCTTCTGTTTTCCTGTAGCAGATGAAGTAGTCTGACCAACAACTGTGTTGGGCCTCCGGGTTATCAATAAAAGGGGAGAGTACGAATGCAACAAATGGTGTCCCACATGCTCTTAGGGAAACATGAGTCCTGTCTAATAAAAGCTAGCAAGGGTAAGGAAAACTTCAAAAGATCTGTAACTGATACACTTGCAAACAACACCTGAGGTTGCAGCTGTGTTTTTAACAGTGACAATATCAAAAAAGGAAGGAAGAAAAGACGTGAGAAGCACTTCTTCCTTTCTGAGGTAGGTTCCAGAATGATTTAGGGGTGGCAAACAAGAAGACAGATTTACGCTGTGGCTTGATGTTTCTTGCTGTCTGTGTCAGCCTAAAGAATGCAACTGTTTAGATAATAACTGGTGGACTGGATCCCAGTTAGTGGTTGGAGCCTATGTTCCAGTTTAGTTTTGCATGAGAAGAGCGTGATTCATGTGCTCCAAGACTGTGTCTCTGTGGGAGCCAAGGTGCTGGGAAGGGGGAACATTGCTTCAAAAACATCCTCTTGGGCAGTGCTAGCATGACCCCTATCACATGCCTTCCTTGTAGCACCAAAGGTCATCCTGTAGTTTGTGTGCAATCGGCCTTCCCATGAAAAATAACTCTTGTACACAAAGGAGTAGGTGACAATTTTTAGCAGAACATTATCACGCATACTCTTAGTATTTCTACCCACGTGCCTGGTGACAGGACGAGGGGGAATGGGCTTAAGTTGTGCCAGGGGAGTTTTAGGTTAGATGTTAGGAAGAACTTCTTTACTGAAAGGGTTGTTAGGCACTGGAACAGGCTGCCCAGGGAGGTGGTGTAGTCACCATCCCTGGAAGTCTTCAAAAGCCGTTTAGATGTAGAGCTTAGGGATATGGTTTAGTGGGGACTGGTTAGTGTTAGGTTAGAGGTTGGACTCGATGATCTTGAGGTCTCTTCCAACCTAGAAATTCTGTGATTCTGTGATTTCTTAAGAGCTTTCACTCTAGGTTGAATTAGCTTAAATGGATTTAGCTCTGCCTTGCCAGCAGCATTTTGTTTTTATTTTTTTTGTAATTTTTTTCTCCTAACCAGTGGTGCAGAGCACCTTGTCAAGGGTATATGGCATTGATGAGGCCAGGTCCCCAGCTGCTGCTGGATGGAAACTCAAGGTAGTGCCCTGCAGGAACCGAGCTCCCCCAGCTCAGCCCCTTGCACAACAGCTCTCTTTTAACTTCTTCCTGGCGAGTCACCCTGCGGGGCTGTGCTTTTTAAACCATGCACCAAGTTATGCTGCGACTGTGAGTAGGGGCAAGCCTTGCACGGGTGCTTTTTGGTCTTTTTTGTGTGACTTTGTACTTCTGTCAGGGCAAAGCCAGGTTGTGTTTCAGTCTCAGAACAGCGGTGAGAGCGCAGCCCCCTGTCAGCGCCGCGCCGGGCCGGGCCGGCCCTAAGAAGATGGCGGCGGGCGGGGGGCTCCGGCCGCGTTGCCCGCCCGGGCCCTCACGGGGCCGCGCAGCCGCCGCCAGAGGGCGGCCGGGGCTGAGGCGCGGGGGCCGGCAAGAACAGGGAAAACAAATCTACTCGGGAAATGGGACACGAAAGGCGAGGGAGGACCGCCTTGATCTTTCTGGCAGCAGCAAGCGGCAAACTGAGGTGCCCTCATGTTGCTTCTCAGCCTCTTTACAGCAACACCCCTAAGTTTCAGAGAGCTCGGGGTGCATTCTTCAAATGGGCCACTTAATTTTGAATACAGTCCTGGTTTAGCAAACACCAGTCTTGGAAACTACTAAAAAAAAGTCACAATAAGCCCTTTTCTTCACTGTAGTGCTTCCTATATTTCACGATGCATCATCATTCTCCAACATACTTTGCCAATGCTACTCCAAGAGTTTGGCAGCAGCGCGTGTGTGACACCAACAGGCAGGGAAGGTTCCCCAGCACCAGGGGCAATTCCCGTCCTCCTCTTCTCACCCTGGGAGCATCAGGGCTTTGGAGCAAAGCAGCTCTCCCCACCTGCCATGTAGCTGCCACGGTACGTTAACTTCTCCTCGCGCACTTGGGATTTGCCAGCGCTCTGAGTGCTTAGCCCTTATTGTTCCCTGACACCCACGGAGAGAGGAAGCCGACTCCATCCGAAGTGTCTCTTGTTGCCAGCGCCGTTACGAGCACATTAGTTCAGATGTGAGGAAAGCAAAATTCTTCGCAGCTTGTCCCTCTGTGCATTGCAAGGCGACAGCTTTCCCTGGAAGAACAAGCGCTCTAAGGTATATTAGGAGCAATTACAGGCTGCAGCTTCCCCTCTTGCCGTCCTCCTTAGCTCAGTGTTGTTCACTGTTAAGGGAGCGCTTTGTTCTGGAAAACACTTTCAGGACCATTATGATCCAAGCTGATATCCCTGCCCCGTGCCTGGCTGCAGGGCAGAGCCTGGCACTTAGCGCTCAGCAGCAGCGTCTGCCACGAGCCTCCCCAAATGCTGCTGCCTCCCCTGCCAGCCTGGGCTGAGCCTCCAGCACTGGCCTTGTTTTGTTTTGACTGAGACCGATGCTAAGCCACCATGCGGGATCAAGCCAACTGGCAATTGGGTGAAATCCTCCTAAATTTCTGCCCAGACCTTGTCACTGCCTGTGGCACTTTGCGTTGTGAAACCCCTCTCCAGCACGATAGCAAACGCAAGCGACTCGTGCAATGAGTAATTGCCTCCGAACGCAGCGTTGGCTGCGACTGTAAGTTCATCTGTATGTTATGCTGTGCTGCGTGACTCCGTAACTATCCTTGACACACCTGGTTTTCATTATAGAAAATAGATCCCCTGGATGCGAACTGCAGCCCCTGCCTCACTGCAGGCTCTGCACGTGGGGGAGCTGCAGAGGCAGCCCAGGAAAGCCGGGCTGGTGCAGGGACCATGGCATGGGGATCGTGGCACGGGGCTCCCTGCCAGGCACCCACCCCGGGCTGCCTGCTCGCCAGGGCATGCTGAGAAGCTGAGCTTTGTTTTCCTGCCCCAGCACCGAGCAGTGGCTGTGCCAGTGATCAGCAGTAGGGGAAAAAACACAGCTGACTTTTGCAGTTCGGCGTGGTGTACCAGCACGCCCACACCGATGTTTCTCTCCCGACAGGAGCCAAATTGCACAGCTTTATGTAACCAGCTAAATAAAGCGAGCCTTGGAGGAAGGTGGTAACGTGGCCCGCTCCCCCACGCTCGCTGCCAGCCCCCTGCCCACCCCTGGGCAGCTGCTGTCCCCTTGTCCCCCACGTGGGCAGGTGTCCCTATTGCTGGTGGCCATCCTGCTGGTGGCACTGGCCACTTCCAGCCAACACCTGGGGCTCAGCATGGCTTCACAGCCTCTCTTGCACTCTCCTTCAGAAACGTGCACCTGCCCACCTGCTTCCCTAAATGGTTTTCCTCGCCAGTCTTGAAGCTGCAGAGGATACAAATGTTGGCAGCCAAGGGAGCCTACCTGCAGCCGGGCAGGGGCCAGGCAGCTGCAGAGAGCTGCTGGAAGGCCGGCTGCCACTCAGCTGCTGCACCTGGGGCTGCTCTGCTCTGCAGTGGCTGGAGCAAGCAGCCAAGCACCGGGGCCTGGAGCCGGCGCTCCCTGGCCCTTCTGCCTTTTGGATCATTTCGGCTTTTGGCACCTCTGTTGTCATACCTCCTCCTAGGTGAAAACAGCTTTATCCACCTCATGGGAGAGGGGCGCGGTGGGAAGCAGTTTCTATGTATGTCTGTCATGCTGTAAGGGTTTTCACAGTAGTGCTGCAAATGGGAGCTTCAGAGCATCTCATTCAGGAGGCAGGAAGGGTTTCTGAGCAGCCCCAGCCCCTCAGCACAGAGCACATGTAAAGGGACAAAAGCCTCACCACAGCTGCTTTCTGGGGGTGCTTCTCCCCACCCTCGCCAGGCGTGCCCCTCTGCCACCCCTCTTGGTGCTTCTGAAGCGTGCCCAGTGCTGCCTTAGCTCTCCTTACAGCATGCTCCGTTTCCTAACCAACGGCTTGCAAATAAGCTGTAACGAGGCTGAGGGAGCACGATGCCAGCAGAGACAGCCGTCGGCCTGTCCCTGGATGCGCACACCCTCTTAACTACCCTCTGTCAGCTGGGCTGCGAGGTGGGGCACGTGCAGGTACGTGTGCGTGTCTATACTGGCTGCATTAAATGCATTAAATGCAGAAAAAATGTACTTCTTCTGCGTGAGACTGCTCATATTGTTCTGCTAACAGAGAAGGTGGTTTTGCGTGAGTTCAGACGTGCCATTGCATGAGGATGTGTAAACAATTTATGCATATTTTGTGAACAATTTAGATTAAATACTGTATATAGTACCTTATAACCGAAGGCAGGAGGATTTGTAAGGTTAACGCAGATACAACATAAGCATCATGTAAACTGTGCAGTGAAATAATACAGACTCTTCTTCCCCCAGGTTGCACTGTAAATGGGACTTGGGCAAGCATGCTTGTTTGACCTGATGGAAAGATTTAAAGAAATCCAGATGTCTTTGATCCAGGTAAGAGGGGGGAAAAGCTGTTTTATCCTTGGCGTGGTGCTTTGTAACAACAGCACACTGCCAGGCTGCTTTGCCACGTCAGGTGTGGATATCCGTAGGAGCACCTCTGGGCATCTTTTAGTCCGGGTGTGCAGGCTTCTGCCTTCCCTTGCCCTGAGGCAAACGGCGGTGAACAGAGCTCCACGTGGGTGCGTGCTGAGGGCAGCCCCTCACAGCTGCTCCCTCCCGAGGGATGTAGATATTTCCACCTGCGAAACCCCTGGCCGTGGCACCTGAGACCCGACTTTTTCTCACCAGCTCCTGAAGAAGTTACGTGGGTGAGATGGTGATGAAAACAAAGCAGCAGGAAGGAACAGAAAACGCTCTGTTCTCCCTGCAAAGAGCAATGCTTTGCTCCTTGAGGGGAGGCTCTAATGAGTTTTTATCACGAGCTTTTCATCTCTCCTCCTACCCAGTTGAAGGTTCTCCCACGGGATGACAAATTTGTGAATGGTTGGGGATGCTCGCCAGAGTTTTTCCCAAGTAACAGCTGAAATTTAGAGAGTGTTGCTTCTCTGGCCGGGCTGACATTATTAAGACGTGTTGACCTTCATGAAAACCGCTGATTAGCTGAAACGGGCAGAAAGCAGGCAGGAACGCAGCTTCCCCAGTGCTGCTGGCCAGTTTTTGTGTCAGATATGCTTCCTTTATTGCTCCCAAGCGATGCAAAGAAATTGATTTATTATTTTTTTAACGCTTTCGCTATCCCTCACCACCTGCATTTCTCTTGACATCACCACGCTGCTCCGAGGGCACCTGGCATCTGTTTGCTCGCGTGCTGAGAGCTTGCCTAGACAAAGTGCTGATGGAGGCACCGGGCATCTCTGCTCATCACAGCTGCCTTGTTTCCTCAATCAGCAGCTCGCTGCGCCCTGCGCTGAGGGAGGATGATGTTGCAATTCAGCCTGAGCCTTCCCTTCAGCACACTCACTTTCTGGTTGGTGTTAGGCCTGAGCATCACCTTGCAGCCAAGCTGACGGCCACCATGAGGCCATGCAGAGATACAGGGGCAAGCCGTGGTGGCCACATCAGTGCTTGAAGGAGCAACGTGGGCCCCTCTCCCTGAGCCTCCCAGTACTGCTTGGGGTAAGCACCTCTGCCTGGGAGCTTATTTTTTGTACGGTAAGTCTAACAGGTCTTATAAGATAAGACAGCGCTTGCTGCTCGTTGTAGAAACATGCTTCCATGAGGGACTGAACTGAAGGCTTTATCAAGGCCTGGAAGGGCATTTCAGAGGGAATGATTATTCCATGTAACCATAACAAATACACTTTCCTAGACACACAACAAATTCGTTGTGTTTCATTATCAATTCTCATACGTGATGTCTGAGTGTTTGCGCCGATGGTTTCGCTCAGGCTTTTTGCTGCTGGTGGAGGCTTGCTGTTATCCTCCAGGCAGGGCAGGGAAACGGCGAGACTGACAGAGCGATCCACCGGGTTTTCTGTATTCATGAGGCTCCGTGCCCGTCACGGGGAGATGGAAATCCTTGTCACCGGGGAAGGACGCGGGAGGCTCGGGGCGGATCAGTTTGCGTGCTCTTCCTAATAAGCGCCACTTTTTCTCCTGTGGCCGTGCAGCCTCCCAGAGCTAGAGCTGCCTCAAGGGCCAGGTATGATGAGCAGAGCTGCCAAAACCTTTCTGTGTCAGTGGAAAGCCCCTGATTATTGCAAGAGGCTGTGAACGTAAAGGTGACATTCAAAGGATCATTAAGATAACAGCCAGGATGAATTCCTTTCCAACTTCACTTAATAGATGCTTTAGTTTGAAATCATCTTTCCTGATGATTTCACCAGGAAAGAAGGAAGGAAAGGCCAGCACGTGAGACCTGAAATACGCAGCCTACTCTTTAATTAGGTACAGGCAGCTGCTTAAGAAAGCAATAGCTTAGCCAGGAGAGGTAATGAGATTAATGGCAGAAGTAACAAGAATGCTAATATATCTGACAAATAAGTTGTTGTGTGTTTGTTGTTGTTGTTGTTGTTGTTTTTTTCCTCATTTTTTCCTGTTATAACTTTGTGACTTTTCCCAGAAAGACACATAGATGTGTGTGCACGTGTGACTGGTTTCCCATGGTGAATGTTAACCAGATTTTGCTAAGCCCTCTTTGCCAATGTTCCTGTTCCTGTGCATGCCTCTAATATTTTCTGATAGCTGGGAGAGCATCGGCGGCAGCCCAGAGGTGTGTGTTGTAGCTGGGATGCTCTATGACTGTCTATTGCATAGCAAACAAATTATTTCACAGTACATACGTATAAATGCCCTTCCATGTTCTTTTCATGAAAAGGTGGGCACCTTTTCATGTTCCACCTCCTTCTATATCTGCCCTGACACACTATTTTAGAATTTCATTTTGTGTTGGATTTTCCTTGGTTTAGCATAGAGTGGAAAGGCAGTCTTGGCACTTACGGTTCTTCCTGTTCTTCATAAGTTCTGTCTGGAAAAAGGTCTTAAAATTGTCAGGCTTCGTGGTAGGGACTGGCAGAAACAGCCCTGCTAACATTCAGCTGCAAGGAGCAGCCGATGAAAACAGTCTGAGCCTGTCTGCCTGCTGAAGCAGAGCTGTTATCTCGCACACATTCATATTGCTTTGTCCAACTTAATTCTGAGCGTACCAAGTAGTGGAGCTTCTGCCACTTCACTCTTGAGAGATAGTTTTGCATATCTCTGCCTCATACTTCACATTTTCCTCTCCTATCTTTAACCTTGAATGCTAATTCCATCCTGGTCCTTTCTGCTAATGGGCTCCTTGCTCTCCATAACATTTAAACCCTCGTAGGTCTTCCCTGTCATCAACTGACTGTGCTACAAGCAGTAACTCTTTGTGCTTGGTCTTTTCCTGCTTGCAGCAAATTAAAGTTTTGACACTGCCTTTAGGAAGCAACGCTACAAGTCTTTAAACCCACCTCATAGGAGGAGTGATGGAAGCTGTTCTTCAACTCACTGTTTGGAGAGGGGAAAAAAAAAGTGCAACAAAAACAGTCAAGGAGAAAACTAATTTCAGCATGAATAGAGCAGTTTGCTTCCTTCTGAGGAATAATATTTTTAATTATACATGCATAAAGATCTGATCAAAATGTTGGGTCTAAGCAAAAAATAGAACCGCTTTGTTTATAGCAGTTTGTCTTGATCTTTTTTGCAGTCATCCATTGCTCACTGCTCACTTTGTTCGTCTCTCCACCGACTCGTCACGACACGAGCCGAGGAAAGGCTGCTCGGCCAGGCGGACCTCTAAATGCTGGTGGTGTCCACAAGCAGCCAGGTAATGGCCCAAATGATTCTGCATTGGCAGCTGCCTACAGCACGCAGCTTTCTTCTGCACTGTTTTCCCCCAAGAAGCCACGATAGCTCACTGTAAGTACTGCATGGAGGTGTGCATGGAAGGAGGATGGGTCCCTCCGCAGGCTTCTGGCAGTGTCAGCGGGGCCAGGAGCTGGCAGCCGCATCGGTCCCGCTGAGCGAGCAGGAGGTGGACGTCTCTGCCAAGCCCCGGACCCATCAGGAGGCAGCGGGATGCCTGCGGCCGGCAGACGGAGATGAAATCTCTTTTAATGAGTGAACCACTAAGCTCTTCTGGACTCGGGGCTGTCGGCTTCCCGGAGACAGAAGCGGGCCTGGAAGGCCTTGGTGTATGGGCTGAGCACTCTGACAAATGTGTGTTTTGCCCCAGCAGAATGGATTTTAAATGAATCTACCAGCTAGAACTGCAAGCTTTGGAGATTCAGCGAGCATGTGATGAGGTGGAATATATTTGGGCCTCGGTAAAATGTTAAAAAAGAGTTCTGCAAAAATCATTCAAATTGCCTTGGCTCTAACAGAGGCTTACCATTTTACAGGCTGCCCAAAGCACTACTAATAAGGGATAGCTGGTGGCCTAATGCTGCTGGAGAGCACAGGCAGTGCTGTGATGCGTGGTGTGAAATGGTCAGCAATATTCCCATGCAGGAGCTGGGTGAGAGAATAGCTCTTATCCAACTGCTGTCCCCGAAGTGCTGAACAGGGAGCAGTGGACTCCTGTGAGCTCATAAAAATGATGTAGGGCTGGGAATAACGTGGGGAAATTTAAACCAAATGCAGCATGATCCCAAAGCATGGCAACTCACTGGACAGGCCTGGTGGCAGGAGCACTGGTTTAGGCTTGGCAGCAAGCAGTAACTGATGCAGAAGTCTGCAGAGCTACAGACTCCCCCAAGATATTATCCTTCACTTATTTCCATGGTATCTGAGCACCGCAGAGATTATATAAATAGATGCTTTCTGGAGAAACTCTTCTCTCTGCTAGGGTATGTTAGGAATGTTAGTTATAAGCTTTTTTACTTCACAGTGGATGGGTGGGCTACATTGAGAAGACCAGGGCTTGTTTTTAGGCTCAGTTACAGCAAGATCATCCCATTCCAGTGCAAGGCAAAAAGACTCCGTGTTTCCCAGGGATAGCAGGAGCCAGCAGGGTATTGCAATGGGATTCAGTGCCCCAGGCAGCACTGGCTGCAGAGGGTCATGCATTTGGGGCAGGAAGAGCTGCACAAGCCCTGTGCCTTGCACAGACCTAACTGGTGCCCGTGGATCATAACGCAGCCTCGATGATCTATAGATGATAAACGATGAGCAATGGCAGAGTCGTCAGCTTGATCCATGCCCAGCACTGACTGTTCCTGTGAGTGCCAAGAAAGGAAAAAAACGACAATTTCATGCTGCCCTGGGACATTCTGCTTGTGCTGGATGAACACTGAATTGCAGCTGACTGCAAAGGGATGCTTAAACCTCGCAAGCTGCTGTTTGTATGCAGCCTTCACTCTTGGTTTTGTTCCAGTGCTTACATGAAAATTTGCTTTTCAGAATTGCCCAGGAAATGGAAATCACAGGAAATTCATACTGCAGATGTAGCTCTTTTTTAATTTTTTTTTTTTTTTTTCTTTTTGGTGAAGTATGCCTCACAGCCCTAGGCTAGCTACTGCAAGGTGACACAATCTCGGTCTGTTAGTGGTGAGGATTCACTGAAGGTATTCGGCTGCAGGGAGCTGTGGAAACAAGGACCATGCCAGTCCACGCCTCCCAAGGAACACTTCACCGGGGTGCTCAGAGCCCTGCGTTCCCAGCTGGCTGATCTCTTTCATACACAGGCTGTAGAAGGATGGCAAATAGCGGTGCCTTCCCGGGGAGCAAGTAGACTTGCAGGAAAATCCTTGCATTGTACTCATGCAATTAATGCTGCTTCCCAGGAAACTTCGTAAACCTTCCTTCACCTTGTTTGAAAATTCATGAAAAATAAGTGTTTTTTTTTAATTATTTATTTATTATTTATTTTATTTTTCTTTTCTTTCTCTCTTTCTCCTCTTTCTCTCTCTCTCTCTCTCTTTTTTTTTTTTTTTCCCTGGGAAATATTAGCAATATAGTATTTTCCTCACTAGAGATTTTTTTCTTGCATAATTTTCTTCTGTTTCTCCTCATGTTTGTAAGACTTTTATTCAGTTCTGGTAGGAGGAAGAGGAACAGAAAACCAGATCTTTGGCAGTTTTAATTCCATGTGGAGCTGAATGAAACACAGAGGTGCCATATCCCTGTGAGCTGAGGCTGGAGCACTGTGTGGCTGCACGTGCAGGGTAGGACAGCAGCACAAAGGTGAGAGTTAGCCTTCTGCCTTGCTGCCTGACCTGCTGTCTGACCGAGCACCTGCCTGCAGCTGAGCTTGGCTCTGCTACCCAGACTTTTGCTCATAAACTCAAGTCTCTGCCAGAGTGCTCCCTCCAGACGGGCTGATGTGACATCACTGCTGAATAAACAGAAACCAATATCGAGTGGATTTGCTGGAGAGCGCATTCAAGACCACAGCTATTACACCAGATATCTGAGTCAATCAAAATATCAGAGACCTCCCATGATTAATAACCATTGGGATATCTAATCCATGCTTTAAAGCAGTTACAGGCAGGCAAGGAAAGCAAGAGTTACTCCCCAAGAGTGATACTTGCCTATGAGAAAAGAAAGAAAACAAAACGAGGCAGCACACCAGCCTGGAAGCAATGTGGAGCCCTGGTACAACTCATGATACCTGTCTGAAATTAGATGCAGTGCACCCCAATGTGGGGCTGGTGGGGATGCTTGTATCTGCTTGGGCTGCCTGTGACCATGGTGGTGCTGCTGTGACACCACCGGGGAGAAGACCCAAGGGGCTACACCAACATTTCAGTGGTACTTACATGAGCAGGATGCGGCCAGTTGTTGTTTTAGTGCTTCTAGGCTTTCCTTAGGCATGGGGGAAAAGTTAATTGCCGTCTGAAAGAGGAAGCTGCATTTTGTGGTTGAAAGATTATTTCCCAACCTCGCGGTTAGCAGAGGAGTCCCAAAGGGGCAACACAGGCCGGAGGAGAAGTGCACGGCAAGTGCAGATGAATAGGGGAAGTTGTGTTTGATGAATGCGTTCTGCTGCTGCTGGGGTGATTAAAGGGTCTCTCTTCTCCTGCTTGCTTTGTGGAGCCAGAGATGCTCCAACACGGTACAGATGGGTGCTCTAGGGCCAATGTGGATGTCTGGGGATACACCTGAGGTTCAGGCTCTGGGGCTAGTATGTGCTGGAGCTGTACAAAGACAGGAGCTTCAATGTACTGGTGGTGTCTGGGCAGCCCTGAGTGAGCCACCATGCACACCAGGACTGCTGGCAGCTCTGGCAAGGAGCAGGACGGCTCTGGCCTTGCTCGGCTTGGGCTTGCCACAGGTGCCCTCATGGCATTGCCTCTGCCAGCACCAGGAGCTTGTTCCAGCCCAGGAGCGCCTGAGCACTTCAAGGCTTCTTGCTCTGGCGAAGCAGAAAAGAGTTAACTCCCCCTCAGTTCTCCTCCAGAAGAGAGAAGATTGAAATGTTTCATACTGTTCTATTTTTAAATCGTTCAAGAAATGTATTGCTAACAGAAGAACAGCATAACTGACGTTTCCCAGAATCAGCTGGTGAAAGTGCACAGCGCAGCTCCTCTTGGGCAGCCCAGGCAAGGTAAAACGACTCAAAATAGATTGCAAATAGAAAGAAAAAGCAGGAAACCATTACAGAGCTCTGTAGGCAACACCCTGAAGTCCATTTTAGCTGTTAGCCATTGTACTTAAGGCAATAGAGAGCAATTAAGCAAGGAGACCACTGGAAGGTTTGTTTCCCCGTTGTATCCCTGAAATAGCTCCAGCTCATTGCCAGTGCAAGGTATCACACTGATGGGGGCAGAGATCAAAGGCATCTGCCCAGCTGCCACAAAAAGCTCTGTAACGAGGGTCTGCATTAACGTGAGAGGGCCTCCTGCCACTCCTGGGGGGTGGACTTTTGGGTGATGCCGACCTCTCTCCACCATGAGCAGGGCTGAGAGCCACCAACTCTCTTCACGGAGTCCAACAATTGACTCTCCTATTCCCCTATGGAGGCAGCATGCGGCATTAATTAATGGACATAAAACTTGCTTGGAAGCAGGCACGGGTATGACAGCTCCTAATAGCCGTACATGAAGGGCTCTGATATGCCTGTGTAACCAGACAGCGACTGCTACGCTTCGGCAGCAGGCTTAGAACATCTTTCTGAGGGCTTATTATTTCTGAGGGCTGCTAAGCGTAAATTTTGCAGTGGTTCTCCAGACTAATTTTCATGTAGAATAAATTCAAGCGTGAATGAATGTGGGCTGTTGTGTGGCCTGCATTAGCTGGGAGGTCAGGCGAGGAAATTAGCCCAGTCTCTGGTGACCTTGTGACGTGGGAAGGAAAGCAGCCCCTTGTCCAGGCACACCAAGGAGCGATGGAGCAGGCAGTGCTGAGGGCGTGCTGCCCACAGGTAGGTGCCGTGAGGAGCCTGTCACAAAACACCCTTCTTGGTGAAGTGGATGGTGACATTTCTACCCAGACCTCAAATGCGGCTGCCCCGTTTCACCTGCCTCCAGCGCTGCTGAGGTGAGGGATGGCTGAAGAAAGGGTCTCCCCTTTCTCTGTGGGCTGGCAGAAGAGCAAGCTGATGGGTGTGTGAGCAACACGGGCACATCTAGCGTGTGACTTGTGGGGCCTTCCACACTTACAAACTGTTGTCTGTAAATATTTGTGGTGACAGCTAGCAGCAGGCAGGTAAAATGCACGGAGGTGGGGACATTTCCAGTCACAAAGAAGCACTGCCAGCAGGTACCGGTGATAGCATAGATGTGCCCTTGGCCAAAATACAGCTGTTGGGAACTGCCTGGGGACCTGGCATGGGTTACACAGCGAGCAGCTGCTGTGCAGAAAGCAGCAGGTACGTTTTGATTCAGCCTTTCCCTGCAGGGCAGCTTTTAGGTATAAGGAGTCTACCGACTACAGGACAAGTACCACAAGCTAGGTAGAGATAGTTGTTGGAAGATCACTAACACGCTTTATTCTCTGGTAGAAACTTTGTGTTTGTCCCTTGATAGGGATCCAGAAGCCCACTGGTGACATTTTTGGTCTAACGGTGATATTACTGTGTCTGCAGTACTCCTGCCAGAGGGCATGAGATTTGACGCTCCCTGTTCAGGAGACTTGTCTGTACAAAACCAAATATTTTTTTTTTGTGGTGAGGTCGTCTAAAGCATCTGGCAGCCTTGTGCAGAACAACCGGGCCTATCTTCTTGTCTGCTTCTGTCCTACACAGACCGTGCTGGTGCAGGCCTCCATGGTTCCTTGGTCTGGTCACACACCGGTGGTGGGGTGATGCTGGCTGTGGCTCCCCGGAGGCTGGGCTTTGTGTGCTGTGCCCACAGCTGGGTGATGTCCTCCCCAGGGAACCGGCCTGGACAGACGCTCCATGCTCTTCTCTTTGGTCTAACACCGCCAACCAAGGGAGGCCTCAGCTGCTCTGCGGGCACCAGGCCGAGGAGCAGAGCGGTGAGGTGGGAGGGCGCTGCTCATCTCCATGTAAATGCAGAAGCCCTTGCAAAGAAGGGTTAAGAAATTTGTCCAGGGCCTCAAAACACGTGGGCGGTAGAGCCAGGAGCTCTTGCTCCCACTTTGATCTCCTCACTGAAGTAATCTCTGTCCTGTGGAAGCAGCAGTGGGAGGGACAGCTGAGGGGGACCGGGAGTGGGAAATGCCATGTGTAGGAAAAGAGTGGGTAAGTCCAATTTCAGTCTGCATCTTGTGTGTGCAAAGGGGGAAGAGGTGGTGCAATTTGCCTAAAGGGTGGTTTCCACAATTGGAAATATTTAATTAAGTGAATTATTTTCCTAGTAGTACTTTAAAAGGTTATATACCCAATTAACTGTGCATTAGACTTAGCCTGAGCCCCATTTTGATATGCTCAGTGGACTGTGAGGAATGTACTGTCAGCTTAAGAGAGACAAAAAAAGGTAGAAGTCAAATCGGTGGCAAATGAAGTTTCTGGCTCCTTGTCAAAGCACCCGCATGCCTCATTACCTTGGTTTAAAGCCAACAGGCTAGCTTAACGGGGCTGTTTATTACTCCCTCCCCTTCCATCGCTGCTGAAAAGGAAGCTGGAGCTGCAAATCCTCTCTTGTACTTTCATCGGCACGTACCCTTCCTCAGCCCACCGTGCTCGCGTGGTGCTCGTGTCCTGCTGATGGAGCCATTTCACACCATGCCCCTCTCGGTGCCAGCTGTTTCTGCTGGCAACACCATGACATGGTGCCGCTGGACCTGCAGCCAAATGGTCCTGGCGAGAGGGAGGGGGTGTTAATGAGATAATAGAAGTGCATGCCCGCTATTTTCTGCCCCAGAGTAAATGTGGCTTTCTCTTGGCTGCGAAGCCTGTGTAGCTGTTGGAGCATGGCTCTGTCAAAGAGAGGAGTTGCCTCCTTTTTCGCTCCAGCCCTCACCACATGGATTGTCACTCTTTCTTCCCCTGTTTTCCCCATGCCCCGTGCAGCACAGCTCCCTGGCACGGTGTTCAGCTCCCCGTTGTGCTCTGGCCACTAGCAGTGACCAAGGCCATGAAGACACCCCAGGAGATGGAGGCAAATGGGGGGTATGTGCCCTGTCTGGAGCAGTACCTCCTGCTGCTAGGGCCTGCATAGGAGGTGGCAGCAGCTGAATGGCAGAAGAGCTTAGGTTCAGGAAGGGAATTAATTGCAATGTGTCTTAAAATTGTCTACCCATCTTGTGTACGGCAAATTTTCGGTGGGTAGAAAAAGGGCAGACAACAGTCTATTATATGGACAGATACATCTTCAACATTTAATTGTGGCCTCTTGCTTATCTTTCCTTACTTCTTATCTTGGCCTTGTGTCAGCTGTTTGCAGCAGAAGCCTGCCTTGTACGTGCCAGCCATGGTGGAGCCCAAACCACAAAGTACTGAGAGGTAGCAATAAGGGAATAGTCACCCTAGAGCAGCGCTGTCTACAAAAAGTGAGAACTAGAGGTGAATATGCAGATGATTTTGTACTTGGGGAAGGGAGGCCTACAGGAACAGGAGAACTGTTCAGACATAAACTTTGCTGAAGTCGAGTGTAGCTGAATACAAAATCGCTTGAGCACCCTGACTCGGCATTGCTGGCAGATGGAGCAGGACTGAGGTAGCTTTGCCTTCCTCACCTATTTCCCTTCGGTTTCAACAGGGACTCATCACAGCTGCAGGCACCACTTTGGTTCTCCTGGAGCATTGCGAAAGAATGTGATGATGTGGCTTTATTATTTTTAGCTTGTTTTGCTAAGGGAGTTATGCTTACGCAACTACGTCCCTGCAGCCCTACCCTCCCCGCCCCTCACACACATGCGCTGGTACCTTCTACATCTGCAAGACGATTTTAAACAAATCTGAAAGGGAGCAGAGGTCTCAGAGCTCGTGATTCGGGCGTGTGGGTAGACGAGAGAGTCACACGCTGGTGGGACCACAAAAAAATCTTGGCCCCAGCTGCTCTGGGAGGCCATTCCCGGCTGTAGCCTCTGAGCTCCCATGCTGGGACTTGCCCTCGCAGGCACGAAGGTGGATGGGTGTGTAAGGGTCAGGGATGGGACAGCGGGGAAGGCTGCAGGGTGCGGGGTGCGAATCCGTGGCAGATCAGACTTGAGCAGTGGTGGCGCTGAGGGAGCTTCGTGCTTTGTTTGAGGGCGATCGATGCCTCTAGTACGGGTCTGAAGTGGTTTGGCTGGAACAATTCTCAATAGGGATCGAGTCTGCTTGACTGGATCAAGGAAATGCTGGTGGAACTTGCTCTGACATGTTTGCAGTCCCTGTTTCTAGCACAGGCAGGACAAAGGACAACCTGAGCTGAGGGAACAGCGAGTATATGTGTCAGCCATTCTTTCTGTGGAAAGTGAGCCTGAAAGCATAAAAGAAAATCCAAAAGCTTAGAGTCCCAGGCTGCATCCTCCCAGGTGAGGCTGGTTCTCTCCTAATGTGCAGAGAATGCTAAAGCTGTGAGACATTTGTTAAAACACACACAAAGCCCCAGCGGGGTGAGAAGTAATTTGCACAGTAATTGCAGAAGGGGACGAGCGAGTGTGCGTGTGCCTGCTGCCCTGCTGGGACTTGTGCAACGCGGCATGATAATGTCCTGGAGCTGCCTTCCTGCTTCTGTCGGGAATGACCCTAAAACCCAAGGACAGGACAGGTGGCAGGTGCCAGCAATAAAGAGCCCAAGCTGAATATCACCTCTGCTCTCCCACAAATGAGAACAACGACGGGTCTCCAGGGTTTGCAGAAGGCTGGTGGTGGCTTGGTTTCACTGCGCACAAAAATATGCATCAAACAGCCAAGCAAATAGGGAAAAAAATGAAGAAAAAGCTTTTATAGCTGTGGAACATGGTAGAAACAGCCCCTGGAGAACTGGGATCGTGAGAGATTTCACAGAGAAAAGAGAGAACCCTCTTGAGAGCTTATCTCGGATTTGGGTTATTTGAGAGGAAGAGCAGAGACTTCGTAGGTAGAGGTGGGAGCTTGCATGTCCCTCACGTGCCCCGAGTCCTCCACAATATTAGGTCAGCCTGGTAACGCAGAGACATTGCTGCATGCAGGGTGCCTCCCAGGAGCACCCACAACCTGCCTCTGGTTTCTGAGGATTCCCAAGCAAGGGTGAATGAGTGGTGGGACTTTCTGCATGCAAATGCAGGGTACGTGGGCACTTCTGTCATTGTCCATCACGGCCTGGGCATTAGGCGTTTGATACTTACCATCTGCCAGAAGAGTGATGGTCATTAGACATAAGATTTGTTGTGAACAAAGGACAAAGAGAGAACTAGGTTCAAAAGCATGTGGTGAGTTCATGACATAAATCATTCAGGATGCCTACACACGGTATGCAACATTTGTTTCTTAACCCAAGTAACAAATAAGTGTCATAATTTTCTCTGGAAATGAACCAAATTAGGTATTTGTCCTGACTGAAATAAGGTATACAACATATTGTGTCTTAGTGAACGTGATCACCACTGTAAGCTGTTATACCGGGCAGCTGATGGCAGAATTACACCTTGTCTTTTCCTCCTGCTATCAGTATGGTATCAGCTGTCTGAGCAGTCCAGGGCAGTCCTTGTTCTTTCAGCGTGGGCTTCTATTTCTCAATCCATGCAACCACAGCAGTTCAGCTTCCCATTTTTGCCTGAATGCTTATTTCAGCATTTTTCCCAGCAGAGTGGTCCTGCTGGAGAACTGGGCTCTTTTGAGGGGGAATATTTCTTTGACAGTGTTGGATACAAGTTGATTTTTTAAAGGCAGAGCCACAGCTAATACTATGTCTGCCTGGATGGTGGCATTAAAGCCAGCCTAAGTGTTTTTGTCAATTTTATAACTCAGTCCCTTTTTTATTTTTTCAAGTGACTATGGCCAATAGCCAGTCTTTCAACAATCACAACATTATTTCGCTCCACCAAGCATAACGCTTAGAGGAAACTCGATTCCATTTGAAGCACCATAGTGTAAGAGAAAGAGACTCCTACCTTGAAACCGGAGCACTGCTGATTGTCTGGAGACCCGAGCTGCTGTGGGGTCAGTATGTACGTGCCCTGGAGAACAGCGCTTGGATCAAGCTCTTTATGAGTAACCTCTCATTTTGGAAGCCTTGGTATTGGTGTGCCTCTCCTGAAGGCTCTGATCTCTGCTGTCGAGGTTGCCGACAATTTTCAGCTTCTGTTATTCTTGGCTGCTTCCAAAAGTGTGCGTGTGTCTAATCCTTTTTTTCTTTTAATTTTTGGCTGCACCAGCTTTGTGTAATTGTGCTCCCATGAATATATTAGTTGACTTCTATAATCCTGAGAAGCTCATAATCAAAGACTAAAGTAAACTTACTCAAATATCAGCTTAACTATTACTTTTAAAATAAGGCAAGCAACTATGTGAGAAATGTACTTGAAAACATTCAACTCATTCTGACATTGAGATTTCACAGTGGGTCAGATCAAAACTTATTAGAAATCTATTTAAGATGACACCTCAGTAGCATGAAGCCTAAGTGCCATTTCTCAGTAGCTAAGTGGAGTTCAAAGGCAGCCCTTTAAGCATTGAAATGCCAAAATCTGAAACAAAAATATTTAGACTACTGATCAAAATAAATCAAATCCTCTTTCTTCACTGTGACGGCAAGATATAATGACTCTTTTATAAAATTTAGCCAGTTTTCATGGTAAACTGCAACTACTGGGCAATGCCATTTCAAGGAAGACAAAATAGAAACCACTTAAAACAATCGGGTAACCAATGACTCAGGC